GGTGCAGGGTCTTCCAGAACTGACAAGTGAACTTCGCGTCTCGATCAGACACGATCTCCACGGGGACTCCATGAAGTTTGACAATCTCATCTACGAACAACTCGGCATACTGACTAGCCTTCATAGTCGTCCGGATTGGCAGAAAGTGGGCAGACTTCGTAAGGCGATCCACAATCACCCAAATAGAGTCATGCCCGGTCCTCGACCTCGAGAATCCCACCATGAAATCCATGGTAATGCACTCCCACTTCCACAAGGGAACCTCAAGTGGCTACAACTTCCCTCTCGGCTTCTGATGCTCAGCCTTCACTTGCTGACATACCAGACACCCATTCACGAACCTTGCCACTTGCCACTTCATACCTCGCCACAAGAAAGACTTCCTCGGATCCTGATACATTTTCGAACTACCAGGATGGACGGTGTACGGGGCACTATGGGCCTCTCTCAAAATCTCCCTTCGCAATTCCCACACCTTCGGAACACAAAGTCTACCCTCAAAGACCAAGGCCCCATCAGATGCGACTGCGAATCCTCTAACTCTACCGGCTTCCGACAACTCCTTCATCCGGCAAAGGAAACGATCATTCGGTTGCTCGGCGACAATCCTCTCAGGAAGAGTCGGTCCCACAACCAAAGAGGTCAATATACCCTGGTTGTCGAAGGTGGCTCCACTGCCTCTAGCTGTAGTCGCTCGAACTCTCGAAGAAGGACCTCTTGCTTGGTAAAAAGACAGGATAACTGGCCATAACTCCTCCGACTAAGGGCATCGGCTAGCACATTAGCTTTCCCAGGATGGTAGCTAATCGTGCAATCGTAGTCCTTGACCAGTTCCAACCACCTACGCTCTCGCATATTCAGCTCCCTCTGAGTGAAAATGTACTTTAAGCTCTTGTGGTCGGTAAATATCTCACACTTGCCTCCATAGAGGTAGTGCCGCCCAATCTTCAAGGCGTGAACGACTGCAGCTAACTCAAGATCGTGAGTGGGGTAGTTCTGCTCGTGAGGCTTCCGCTGCCTCGAAGCATAGGCTACGACCCTCCCCTGCTGCATAAGGACACATCCCAAACCCATCTTCGAAGCGTCACTATAGATGGTGAACTCCAAAGTAGGATCGGGAATAGATAGAACATGCGCGGTAGTGAGTCTCCTCTTCAACTCCTGGAAACTCTCCTCACACTTCTGACTCCAATCGAACCTCACGGCCTTCTTCATAAGGTTGGTTAGTGGCTGGGCTATCTTCGAGAAGCCCTCGATAAACCTCCGGTAGTATCCCGCTAACCCCAGTAAACTACGAACATCAGCGGCACTTCTTGGCGTATCCCACTTGCTCACTGCCTCGATCTTGCTGGGATTCACCTCAATGCCTCTCGCTGTCACAATGTGGCCAAGGAATGCCACACGATCTAGCCAAAACTCGCACTTCGAGAACTTAGCATACAACTTCTCGTGGCGAAGAGTCTCCAGCACAATTCTCAGATGCTCCTTGTGCTGGTCGATGCTCTGAGAATAAACCAAGATGTCGTCGATGAACACGATAACAAACTGGTCCAGGAAGGGATGAAAGACCCTATTCATAAGGTCCATAAACACGGCCGGGGCATTGCTGAGTCGGAACGGCATGACTACAAACTCATAGTGGCCATAACGGGTACGGAAGGCAGTCTTAGAAATATCGGACTCCCGGATCTTCAGCTGATGATAACCAGAACGCAAGTCGATCTTGGAAAAGATGCTGGCTCCCCTCAACTGGTCGAAGAGATCTTCAATGTGAGGAAGGGGATACTTGTTCTTGACTATAAGGGCATTCAACTCCCGATAGTCAATACACATGCGCATCGATCCGTCTTTCTTCTTCACGAATAGGACGGGCGCTCCCCACGGCGAAACACTCGGACCAATGAAACCAAGATTGAGCAACTCCTGGATCTGGGCCTTGAGTTCTTGAAGCTCCTTCGGTGCCATACGATAAGGGGCCTTAGAAACAGGGCCAGCTCCTGGGACTAGATCAATGGTAAACTCCACTTGGCGGTCGGGCGGTCCTCCGGGCAATTCATCAGGGAAGACATCGAGATACTCGCAGACAATAGAGACTCTCTCTGGGGACCTCTCAGAATCGTCCTTGGATACCATAAAAACCAGATAGCCTTGACAGCTACCCTTAGAAAGGCTCTTCCTAGCTTGCATGGAAGAGATGACTCGAGGCACATTTCTCGACTTCACCCCATAGAAAATAACAGGCTGACCGGAAACGGGGAAGAGACTGACTTCGCGCTCCTGGCACCGGATATCGGCTCGATAGCGAGTGAGCCAGTCCATGCCCAAGATCACATCAGAGTCCCACATTTCAATAAAATAGCAGTTGGCCTCCAAATCACGCCCACCAATACTAACTGAAAGACCATGAATCAAAGAATCGGAGATGATAATTTTTCTCGAGGCTAGACTAACCTCGAGAGGATCACAGTTGCACACATTATCAATAGACAGGGCCTCCAAGCATCGAGAGGAGATAAAGGAATGAGTAGCTCCAGTGTCACATAACGCAAAGATAGGCACATTAATAAAAGAAGTCTAGAGTTCGACACTAGAGTTCACATTTAAAGGTGGATCAGTCCTAACCCCGATTTCATTCCAATAATCAATAATTAACCAATATACAGTAATCTCAAAGTCATTCAGGTATTCATACCTGAGTTGGCGCGGCACGACGAGAGCGAGTGGTCTTAACACGAATTCGAAACACATAATCACATAATCAACTTTTATACTTAAACCAGTCTACAGAAACGCAGACTGGCTCTGATACCAAACTGTAACGCCCCACCTTTATTTACCGAAAATCAGAATAAATTTTTCGAATTTATTTTAAAAACAATATTCGAGGCGCTACTCATTTTCAAATCAATAATCAATACTCGACATTTTCTCCATATTCAACAATTATTGATACTCATAATCAATAAGAAAATCCCAATAATCAATCAATAATCCAATAATGATCCTAGGGAAGTAATCCCTATCAATAATCCAATACTAGAAAAACAATAGTCAATAATAATGCAATAATATCCAAGTTCCATTCAAAGTGGAAGCATTTATTCAAATTAAAGACCACCACTCGCATCCCCTCCGTCGTGCCGCTCTATCTAACCTGCATCCATGAAGAGCAGGTGGGGATGAGCACAATAGGAAACAGTAGTGCTCACCGCTATGCCATAAATAATAATGTCAATAATCAACAGTAATCAATAATCAAAAGGTATGGTCTCAGCATGTATACGAAACAATAATCTATCCCATTCTCCCATCAATAATACAATAATCAGACTCATGTGCACACCTACGCATAGACTACTGCTAACTATATATCGAATGCCCTCCGGTCCTACATCGAGTGCCAGCCGGTAGGAGTAAACCACCCCACCGGCCAAGGTCTTGCCTTGAACTTACCAATGAGGATCACCGGCCGAGGGACCTAAGCCCTGGTCTTACGGCTTCTCAAGGGAGACTACCCGAAGGTACGTTCTATAGCTACGGGGACAACCGTCCGGTGGCCGATACAGCTCACACCGAAGGCTACATGATTCACATGCATACTTTGATCATACCACAATTAAACAGCAATAACATTTAAGGCATAGTAAATTTTACAATTACAACCCACCTGGAAATTTCGGTAGAAAATGGCACACAAAAGCAAGCATGTAGAATGAGGCTCGACTCCTCAAACACCTACATTTAAGCGAGATAATTTATCAATAATTTATATCACTACTAGAGTTTAACATAAAATCCATACTTAATAAAAATTAAGATTTACGGGTTTTAATCGAATTTTCGTGGACTTGAAACTCTCTAATTTTTGCAAAATAGGACACGGAAAATTAATTTGGAGCCTCGGGACTTTAAAATAATTTTCTTAAATTTCGCTAATTTGAAAATAATTTTTTAAAAATCGAAATCGGTATTAAAACGAGTTTCCGGAACTCAAAATAGGCTTAAAAGTCAACTTGGGGTGCCAATTAAAATTTTTGGGCTGCATTAAAGGAAATTGGGCCTAAACATAGGTTTAGCCCAACACTCATATGGGCAGGGCACACGCGGACTGAAGGAAGGGCCTCTCGCGGGCTTGCGGGCCTGCAGGCTGCAGAGGAAATCCGTGCGCGTGCGGGCCAAAGTTCGGGCCAGAAAGCCCGCGCGCTGGGCTGCCTTATATATAAAAAAAAAGGCTACATTTCGCAAGCTGTGGGATAGAACCCACGACCTCGCGTACAAGGAAAGCACGCGTAACCGCTGCGCCACGTGAGCTGAATGCGCTTTAACTTACAGGCTTTACAAAATAAATTTAGAACAAACCTGCTACTGAACTAAAATAAAAACTGCGAAAATGAGAGGCCAAGTAGCAGATTGAACAGAACAGGCTGCAGGTTTTCAACAGCAAAAATTTTCACAAAATTTTTACCCAAAATATAATGACCCTTCCAGAGTTCGAAAACCTTACGAAAACGGGGTTTGCTCGGAATAGGAAACGACACCTAACGGTTCGAAACAACCAAACGACATAACGACTACGACACGGCTCCAATCAATAAGAACGGAACGCTGAAATTAAATTGAATTTGCCAAAACAACAGTTTCAAGACATTGTAAAATTTGATAATTCATACACATTCAGAGTTTCGAACGTTTATAAGAACTGGGTTCGAGAAACACGTAACCGGCCTGAACAATTCTTGCATACCCGAGTGATGAATATAACAACTCGGAAGAATTTAACGAGACTCCGAATCTACCATTAATTTGCAGCAATAAGAACAGACTCGATTTAACTAAGTCGAGAGTTCCGAATCACACGAAAAATTCACCAACATAATCCGACAATCAAAATGATTAAACGAGCCGACAAATGAAACGAAAAAAAATCGTTCAACTAGCGAATAAACTAACGACGTGATTTACGAGCACGAAAAAATAACGAGAGGGTTCTCCGATTACCTCTCTTCTGGAATCGACGCGCTCAGTTTGAAATCGAACGACATAAACGAACTGGTACTACGAAAGCCCGAAACTCCGATCAATCTACGACGGATTGGATCTTCTGAAATCCTCGGGGTTCGTCGACGGCTCACTGAGGGTCTGAAGGAGACACTGGAATTCGACGATTAACAGAAAATTTCTGAGGAGGACGTCGGTGGCAGAAGCTCGACGAACGGGGTTGACCGGAAACAATGGCGGACGACAGTGGTTGTGGGTTCTCACTCCGACGGATGAATCAACCTCAGCTATGGAACACGCTGATTTGATAGGGGATGCTGGCGACTGATTGCTCGAACAGAGAGGGTGAATTCCCCGGAATTCAGGTACGCTGTTCTTCATTTTTTTTTTTGGATAAAAGAGAGAGAGATATGAGGCGTTCTGAATTCTGAGGGATCGAACGGGGATAGACGTTGGCTGAGTCTTATGAAGACGTGGGAGGATGCCGTTGATCGGTTGGAGAGATAAGGGAGAACGAGCGAGATTCCTCACGCCTAAATCGGAACAAGGTTTTGAACAAGAGGATAATGGTGGACTTGGTCTCGCATGAAAGAGGAGAAGTGGAATGGGTTTGCTTGTAATACTTAATTGGGTCACAAAATAAATCTTGGGCCAAAATAATGCATCATAATTTGGGCCTCAATTATATATCAATTGAGCTAAAAATTGAATACTCATGGGGCTGGAAAATATACAAGATTAGGCCTATTTATTAACTCAAAAAGGTTGGAATGAAGATAATGCGATTACAAGGATTTTCCGAGCGATGCGATTGACGACGAGTAATAAATTAATCCGGATTATCTATATTTATAATACACACAATATTTTAAAATAATAATATTAATACTAAAATTATGCATTTAGACAAATAGTTACAATTTGACAATTAATAATATTTAAGACAATTAATATTAATAATAGCAACATTATTAATAATAAATAAATAATAGCAATTTGACAGTTAATAGCAATTATAATAATAATAATATAATAATAATAATAAAGACAATTTAATAATAGTAATAATTAATACTTATTCTCCAATAATCCAAAATAAAACGGGGTATTACACGCGTGTACGTCACCCGCACGCTCAGAGCGCCCCGCTTGTCCGTCGCTTGCTGCCTGCGCGTACCATCTAGCTCCCGTGGTCATCTCGACTGCCGCGCACCCGCGTGCACCCAGCGTTGCATGCGTGCCATTCACATAATTGGGAGCATCATCGCTCGATGCGCGCCATTCGCCTAGTAGCCGTGCGCCACTCTCATCCGCACACGTCATCGCTCCCGACCACTCACTAAACTCACCAAGCGTCCCACAACAATCTCCGGCACGCATCTTCCACCTATCTTCCACCCCTCGCGCACCCATTCTCTTAGCCTCCATTCTCCAAGCACGTTGCTTCCTCGCACAAGGCCCACACCAATTGCTCCTCGCATTAGTCCTCGACTTGCGTTGCCTCCTAACTCACGTAGCCTTGCGCCTTCTTGACCTTGGGCCACATCCTCTCGGCCAATCCCGCCTACAAGAAGGTCGATAACCCTCCTCATGTGGCTCCTCAAGCATGTTCTCCAACCAAGTATCAAGGTCGTCCATCGTCTCGTCGTCGGACTCTCCGAGGTTAATAACCACTTTCGTATCATGCGGGCTGGACGTGGGCTGCGCGGGCCTGGCATGCTTCTTAGGGCCAAATGACTTGGAAATTATTTCTAAGCGTCCGGTTTGACCCCGGTTTGACTCTGGCTCGGTTTGGTCAATATGCAATGATATAAATCGATCCTTAGTCCGATGTAAACTGAACTTCCGACTGACTTAATCAAATTAAATCGAACGGGGCATTATATCATCTTTTAGGACAAATAATGTGATGGCTTGAACGAGCAAAATAATAGAATAATAATAAATACTCAAAAATTAATTAATTTAGACAATTAGGCAAAAAGAAAATTAATATGATAATAATAATAATAATAATAATAATAATAATAATAATAATAATAATAATAATAATAATAATAATAATAAATAATATTCTCCAATAATTTATAATCAAAAGGGGCGTTACAATCGCCCACTCATTCGGACGCTAGACTTAGGCTGGGCATCACCCACTAATCTAAGTCATAACTGATATCTGACATTCCCGCAATCCAGGCTGGGCATCGCACACTCATCCGGAAACTAGACTTAGGTTGGGCATTGCCCACTCATCTAAGTCATAACTGACATCTGACATTCCCGCAATCCAAGATGGGCATCGCCCAGTCATCCAGAAGCTAGACTTAGGCTGGGCATCGCCCACTCATCTAAGTCATAACTGACATCTGACATTTTCACTGAGACGGGATCACTCGATCGTCTCGATCCTTTAATCTATTTACACAAATACCTCAAACAGTAAAAGCAATTAAAAGCGATGAGGTACACAATAACTAACTCTCCTGAAATTTTGACTGGAACAATATAGCCGATTAAGAAATAGCTATACTATACTTTAATGAATTTATTATCAAATTTTGAAAACACCTAGCTTG